ACAAAATGTGGTCTATACAGTCAATTGAATATTATTTAACCATAAAAAGAATAAAATTCTGATACATGGTACAACATGGGTGAACCTTCAAAACATTATGCTAAGTGCAATAAGCCAGACACAAAAGGGCAAATATTGTATGATTCCCCTCATACAAGTTACCTAGAGTAGTCAATTCTTAGGGACAGAAAATAGAATAGAGGTTACAAGAGGCTGGGGAGAGGGAGGAATGAGGTTATTGTTTAATGGGTATAGTTTTAGTTTGGAGGATGACAAAGTTCTGGAAATGGATAGCGGTGATAGTTGCACAACATTGTGAATGTATTTAATGCCACTGGATTGTACACTTAAAAATAGTTGAATTGGTAAAATTTTATGTTATGTAAATTTTACCACAAAATATACCGAAGCACCATTTCTCACCTATCAGGTTATCAAAATTGAAAAGTACAGCAGCAACACACTGTGTTGGAAAGGCTGTGGTTTGAAAGCAGACCCTCTCATATTTTGCTACTGAGAATGCAAATTGGTGTAACCATTATGGAGAGGAACCTGTCAATTGTGACAAAACTACATAGGTCTTTAACTTTTGCCCCAGCAATTCTACTTCTAGGACTTTACCTTGTAGATATATTCTCAACAATATGAAAATACATATGCAATTGGTTACTCATTGCAGCATGGTTTGTAGTGACCAAATATTGGAAACAATTTATATGCTCATATGTAAAAGAGTGGTGGAATAAAAAGTTCATCCACACATCTTTGTGAACTGAGGTGGGATGATTTCCAGGAAATAATGCTAAGTGCAAAAGGTAAAGTGGGAAAGAGTTCAGTGTGCTACCTTTGTGTAAGAAAGAAGGGGAATTAAGAAAATATACATTTGGGCCAGCCAAGTGGCGCGTTGGTTAAGAGCTGGCTTGGGATGCCAGCTCTGAGCAGCAGAGCCCCGGTTCAGATCCCACATGGGGCCAGTGACACTGCCCTCTACAGCTTAGATGGTGAACAACAGCTCGACCTGGAGCTGTGCTGCCGTGAGTCGCCGGCAACGGCGTATGCTGCAGTCCCTGCTGCAGTGGGCTGCCATAAGCTACCGTGTGTGGCTGGCAGCCAGCGTGAGCGGCTGGCAGCCTGTGGGAGCTGCCAAGAGCTGCGGTGAGCGGCGGTCCAGAGGCTGGCGACCAATCTGCCTCACCCGGGATGAGCACAATGGTAATACCAACATGGGCCAGTGAAGTGACGTCCTCTACAACTAGACTGAAGAACAAAAGGACAGCAACTTGCCTGTTCCCCTCCCCAAATTCCCCAATTAAAAATAAATAAATAAATAAAATTTAAAAAAGACAATATACATTTGGGGGCCAGCCAGGTGGCACAGTTGATTAGAGCACAAGCTCTGAGAAATAGGGTTGCTGTTGTGGTTTGATTCCCACGTGGGCCAGTGAGCTGCGCCCGAGCTGAGATGCCGCTGAGCTGCCAATGGGGCCAGATGTCTCAGCTGTACAAGATTGCTGGCTCGACTCCCGCTTGGGATGGTGGGCTGCATCGCCCCCCAGCAACTAGATTGAAAGCAGCGACTGGACTTGGAGCTGAGCTTGCACCCTCCACAACTAAGATTGAAGGACAACAACTTGACTTGGAGCTGATGGGTCCTGGAAAAACACAATGTTCCTCTTTCCCAATTCCCCAATAAAACATTTTTTTAAAAAAGAAAGAAAGAAAAAGAAAATATACATTTGCCTCCTCATTTGAGCAAAAAGAATCCTAGGAAGGAAAAAGCAGAGAGGACTGAGCTTGATTACCAGAAGGCAGTGGGCAGGAATTGCCTAGAGAGGACAGAGGTATATTCTCTGAATATACCTTTTTGTACAGATCTGCCTTTTGGTACCAAGTTATTGTTTTACTTATTTGAAAAAATAAACAAAATTTCCAAGATGGGAGAAAAAAATCCTAAAATTTAAAACAAACAGGAACAAATGAACCAAAGCATATTTCAAATGAATAACATAAACACACTCAAAGGTGAGAAAAAAATAAAACTAATTGAATTAACTTTCGAATATAGTATTTAGAGAACATGCCCTCAGGCTGAAGAGAAAAAGAATTCTAAACAAATAGTGAATTCTATAATAATTGGTAGGCATTATTTTCCAGGAGCATGAAGGAACAATTCTGAAGTTACTTTTTGGAATTCTAGGATTGAGCAAATAAATAAGTATATTGGGAAAATGGAAGCCAAGTTCTTCATGGTTGGAGAATGGAGTTAACAAATATGAAGAGGGGAACGGATAAAATGAACGCTGTAGCATTACATTGGAATTGGAGATATCAGTGTAAACTTGCAGATGTATTATATGTACATCTCATCCATTTCCCAGCTCTATTCGCCAAGAGGTGATGATGCACAGTAACGATAAGTACATCTGGTACTCAGATCTTGGTTTCTAAATACATTTCCCACTAGACACTTAAAAAAAAAACAAACTATGAAGGGTAGACTAGAAATTTTACAGCAGAGAAACATGGTTGACTCCTGTTAACCAAATGATTGAAGTCAGCATTGGCAGTAACGGAACTATTGGGCAGTATGTACCTCTTCATATTATACACTGAGAATACAGCATCACTTCTGTAGTCTTCCTGCCAAAAGTGTATAACCTGAATCTAAACGTGATGAAACAAATTGAGGAACACTCTACAAAATAAATGGCTTGTACTCTTCAAAATGGCAATGTTGTGAATTACAAAAAAACAACAACAACAAAAAACAAAACTCAGGAATTGTTTCAGATTAAGGGAGTCTAACAAAGACACGGCAACTGAATATAAAGCTTGCGTGGTTTTGAATTTTGCCATAAGGGTATTAGCAGAACATTGACAATACCTCAGTAAAGTCTGTAGATATTATAGTATTGTTTCAATGTAACATTCCTGATTTTGAAAACTGTACTGTGGATGTATAAGGGAATTCATTGTTGTCCCCATAGGAAAAGGAAAGTAACACCTACCCCATGGGGTTGTCAAGAGCATTAAATGCACTGACTCACATACAGAATTTAGCACAAAATATTCAGTTAATATAGAGAAAAATATCATTGGGAATTTGGTTACAAGAAAGGGTTTCACTGGAGGTGGTGGGTTTTAAAAAACCACCACTGTATACTCTCAACCTCAGAAATACCAGCTCAGGCACAGAAAAAGGCTTTGTTACTATGGACCTCAAGAAGGAATATATCTGCCAAGAAGGACGCCTCCTGGTTAACTGGGCATAAATTCATAACTAGAGTCTAGCTGCCATTGCCAACAGAGGCCTCTCATGCTGTTGCATTTCAGGGAAAACCTACAAACTGAACTTTCAGCCTCCTACAATGTTCCTGCCAGCAAGCTCTTATAAAGGAGGTCCTGGTATTGCCTTTCAACCAATGGGCTGAGAACTGCACAGCATTTTGCATCTTCACTGACCAATCAGAGTAGCTCCATAACAGCCAATCAGCACATGCAATTCTGACCAATCAAGAGTGCTGGTTGGACCAATCAGACTGTGCAAATTTAGATTCTTCATTTGCATAAAAATGGACCAATCAGTGATCAGGGTAGGGATTTTTCTCTATAAAATGCAGCCTCCCCTGTGTCTCTGGAGTGTACTTTGGGTTTCTGCTGGAGGCTTTAGCTCCAGGGTTTGCAAACTGTTCTCTTGCATAGTTCCTCCTCTTCCTATACACTCAATTTAGGGCTTTTATCAAAATTAGGTTAGTGGTAGGGAGCTTTTGTTGACACCACATTGCCATACATTATTCCAGAGATGCAACCAGCTGATGAAAACTGTATCCCAAGGAGCCCAAGCTCAAGGAGGCAGGCTTAGAACAACTCCTGGGCACTGTAAGCTGAAGTTATAGCTCCTCCACAAGATGGTGGGTCTCCCAGTTATAGCACCTGATGTAAGTTTACCCTTACACAGGCAGGTTTACAAGAAAACGTAGTAATCAAATACAATGCCTCAAATTCAAATGAACAACTCCTTAATGGCTATCAGGTGCTGGTTCCTTTTGAGGATGTAAGATTCCACCCTCATCCCCATAACCAGCACCACTGAGTGTTAGTCCAAGGTCCATGGGCAAGTAGGTGGTGCCAGACCCAGCTGAGAAGCCCAGCACTTTTCAACTCTGCTCTGGGACTGGCTGGTTTTCAGGCTCAACAAAATGAATTTAAATAATATTAACAGGAGACATTCTGTAAAGGAGTAACAATTTTAAGAGTGTTTGTTACGTTTTCGCTCTGACAAGTATATCACGTCCAAGGTTCTGTAGGAGAAAAATTGCACTGTTGCCTGTCGTCTTACCCAGAGGTAATAGAAAATTATACCCTGGGACAGACGGTCCTGTTCAGCACCTTCTGCAACTGTGGAAGCTGCTAACACCAAGGACCGACCTGTGGATGGGCTTTTGCCTCGGGCCCTGAACCTGAAGCTGGGCTCTGGGATCCCGGGAGTGCCCACTGGCTGGTATCTAAGGGGGCTTCTCCCAGGTGCACAAGACCGAGTGCAGCGCAGGTGCTGGCTTGCCCCCGGAGGCCCAAAGTCATAAGGAAGTGGCAGTGTCCCTAGACTAAGGGCCATCACCTCCCAACACGGGGAGACAAAATGGCGGCCAGGCACCGAGCCGAAGCTACATACGGGTTTCGGGCTAAGCTAGAACCACAACTCCCAAAATGCTCTGGGTCGAAGGCGGGAGGCCGAGGTCGCTCGATGTGGCGCTGAGCCCTGTGCCCCTCCCCGCTAGCGGAAACCCTCCGGATTACGTTGCCGGCTCTGGTCCCATTCGCAGCCTTTTCTCGCACTGGCCGACGGGACTTGTAGTTCTTCGGCAACGGAACTGAACTTCCCTCGGGCCTTAAGAAACTACACTTCCCGGTGAGGTTTTAGCGCCTGCGCACAAGGTCACGATGCGTACTACGATTCCCGGCGGGCTCTGCGACGCGCGCGGCTGCGTGCTGACGCGCTCAGTTAGTTGTGCTGACGTGCAGCGCGGCCCAGGCGAGGTGCGAGTGGCGCAGTCGGAGCCCGCTGCGGCCCCTGAGGAAGCGAGGAGGCATTAGTGTCGGTTGAGGCGGCGGCTCCAGGCCCCGAAAGATTCGCGAGCTTGGGTAGCGGCAGCGGCAGCACCTCTTTTTCTCGGAGGCGGCGGGCGGCGAAGGCGGTGAAGGCGGCGGCGGCGGCGGCGGGTGAGAGAGTGAGGGAGCGCGCGAGCCGGGTGGGGGAGGGGCAGTGGCCCCGGCGCTAGGCCAAAACGCGCGGAGAACGGCCTAGGCCGCTGCGCGCACGCGCTCTCGCCGTTCCTAGCTCGCGCGGACGCTCTCGGTTGCGTGCCTCCCCTCCCCCTTCTCGCGGTTTCCGTCGCGCGCGGGCTTTTACTCTCACCCCTCCCCCATGGCAACGGCGCGCGCCGCCGACTGCACTCGCTCTCGCGCGCGCTCTGGGCGAGGAGGGGGGCGCGCGCGACTCGGCTTCTAGCCTCCCCCACGCATGCGGCCGCGGAGGCCCTTTTGCAGCTACCCCTTCCGGCATTTTCTCGGCAGGGAGGGGCCGGCAGCGACAGCGGCTTGTTGCCGGATTCTTTCCCCTGTGCCACTCCGGCGTCTGGCTTCCCCATTCCTCCTGGGGGCCTGTGGTAGGGCTGGGAGCCTTCCAGACTACGGGGCGCCGCGCAGCCCCCTCCCCCATCCCTGAAGGCCGAAAATAGGCCTTGGCGGCCCAGTCTGCGGAAAAGGCCTTGAACTAGATGCCCCTGAGATTTAGACCGTTCGAACTCGTTATTGTTTGCCGTGAAATATTAGGGAGATAAAAGCCCCAAACCTTCGATAAAAAAAATTCAGCCTCGGTATGTAAAGAGCAGACCGTGTGCTCTTTTTTTTATTTTCTTTTTTTCACTTTTTCATTATCTCCCCAAAAGTTGTGTTGAAGCTAGGAAGGAGGCTGTTGGAGCTCTTCCTTTGGAAGAAAACACTGAACTCTGTTTCAGGCAGTATTTGGCACACAACTCTTCTGAGCCTTTTCAATTTACGCTTATTTAATATGTCTTCTGGATCAATTCGAAAAGAGTCTGTTTTGTCTTCCGTCTTAAATGTGTGAAAACGTCTTAAATGTGTGGGCTTATGTCTTCTCTTGAGCTAATATTTTAAGTTGGGATGCCATAGTGTCCACTTAGCTATACGATGCAGCAGTGCTGAGTATGCTGTGCTTACTTAAGTCCGTTTTCCTGCATACTCCACCACCTCTATCCCATTTGGTGCCTTTTGCTTCTTGGATATCTTAATATTAAGTTTCAAGATTTCACGTCTTCCTTGTTTGTTTGGCGTCATGATAGTTTTCCAGTAGGAAAAATTCTATTTTGTGTTCTTTTGTAGCTTTTATTTTCTGTCTGTAGTTTGGGTAACTTATATACCCACAGTCTGTGGACCCCAGTTTAAGACTCCCTGTTTTCTAATGTTAACTGGTTTTTGGTGATTTGTGTGTGTGTGTGTTGTTGCTGGTACCCCCTTGGTTTGTCCCTTTAGTGTTTCCAGCACTGCCTTGTATGCTGTGGTTTGTGGTTTTTCCTTTATTTTCCCCCCATTTTTTGGCTCATTCCCTAAAAGTTCTCCAATTGTGACTTAATACCCTTTGCTTAGCTATTGGTTTAACCTTCCTAGGGAGTGGGAGGATTGTGTGAGGTGGTATGGAAGTGTGGGTGAATGGTTAAGCCGAAGAATTAATTGCAGGTCAGAAGCATTCTGCAAGGGAAGCAGAAATTAGGTGGGGCATAGAGAGGCAAAGGAGCTAGTTTTAAGAGTAGCTTAAGAGGATTGGTATTTCAGAAAACGAAAATGAGGTTTGGCAGGCAGAGAAACTGAGTTCATATGTTACAAAGTAGTTTTTCATTGTGCATTTTCACTTGCTGTTTCTAGATTTAGCCTCATCTGTCATTCTCTTTACCCTAGTATGGTTATTAATGTTATTATTACTATTTTCTCTCATGAGTCTGCTGTTGGGATTGGGCAGGGACCCAGCCTTAGAGTTGGGAGGTCCAGACTGTTCTAGAGTTGGGCTATCTCCCTTCCATCAACATCTCGCTATACTTTTTTTCTTTTTTTGCACTTTAGAACATTTTCCCAGACATTTGTATGATGTTTCTTTTTTCTGGGTTTAAAAAAATGTAGCATTCCTCTTTTATCCAATTCAACATCTTTTCCCTCTACTTTTCACTAACCTATCCACTTTATTCCCTGGGTTTTTTTCCTGGGGTTTTTTTTTTTTTCTTCTTCATAATTTATGCTCTGAAATTATGTTGGCCAGGATGAGTTGGAGAAAGAAATAGAGTATATATAGTATGAGAAAGGAATATGAGTATGTGTAGAAAAATGGGCTTGAGGGTTCTTTAGAGTCATGTTGGGTTTGGGACAGGTTGAGGGGATAGAGGATAGAACCTAGTAGGAGTCGTGGAAAAAGTAATATGAAAGGGATAGGCAGGGCTGGAAGAGAAAAACTAGGAAATGAGATACAGGGGACTGGTAGGGAAAGCCAGCAGTTTGACATCACTGAAAATGAGGTATAAAGAGTAGGGGTTTTCATTATAAGTTTAAGGCAAAGAATTGTAGAGAAGGTATGGGAACCGTTTGAACAGAGGAGGCTGGTTTGATGTTTAGAGCATTAAGTTGAAACAGGTAATATTTAACAGGTGCTAGGGAGATTTGGGTGAGCTGCAAATCATGTGGGAAATCCTCTTGAAATTGAAGAAATAAGGTATTAGGGTAGTTGATAGGAGCTATAAGTATTTGGAATCAAGGAAATGGCCTTTTACCTGGGAAGTGAAGTACAAAAATTGTATATCCAGGGTTCATGAGTTTCAGATGTGCATGCTGGCCTTCAGTCTGGGTGTGAGGCTGCACAGGGTACTGTTGGTTTATCTTAAGAATTGGTCTATCTGTTGGCTATCTAGGGTCTGTTGAGCCCATTTTGTATTCATAACCGGGTGGTCTGAAATCCTTAGGTTAATGTTTGGAAGAGTCTTTGGACTTTCACTGCAGGCCCTTGGGAGCCACAGATCTTTGGTGCTTGTTGTGCCTGGTCTGGAAGCCTCAGTCAGTTACCAGAGGTTAGGAATTAGAGTAGTTGGTAGAGACAACACTTGTGCGTATTGGGGCCAAAGAATAAAGGGACAGTGGAGAAATTTGAGAGAAATAGGATCCTTGTTTGCTTAGGATGGAAAAAGAAGAACATCTCCGTGCAAGTAGAAATGGTTCTTGGACATCAAGAGAAAAGGCTGTAAGAGCTGAGCTATGACGTGGTGGAAAGAAAGCAGTGTGGGAAGGATGAAGAAGGTTTTGTTAGGAGACTAGGAGAATTGTGCAGTTTAAGGAGGTTTAGTGTGGAGATACATGTTGAAATAGGGATGAAGAAGAGCAGGGATTTGGGTGGTGGTAAGTGGTTAGTTGGGGGCCAGGGGCCTGACCCGTGTCTCCCCGCTCACCCTTAGGAGCGGTGGTGCCCCCCCGGGCACGGGGCCATGTACAACGGGATCGGGCTGCCGACGCCCCGGGGCAGCGGCACCAACGGCTACGTCCAGCGCAACCTGTCCCTGGTGCGGGGCCGCCGGGGTGAGCGGCCTGACTACAAGGGAGAGGAGGAACTGCGGCGCCTGGAGGCTGCCCTGGTGAAGCGGCCTAATCCTGACATCCTGGACCACGAGCGCAAGCGGCGCGTGGAGCTGCGATGCCTCGAGCTGGAGGAGATGATGGAAGAGCAGGGGTGAGGGGAGAGTTGGGGGAAAGCCAAGCACTGAATGAGTGCAGAGCTGGGGGAGTTAGGTGGGTTGTAGGGAGCTTAAGGCTGGTTGAAAGAGGCCTGGAGAGGAGTTGTAGAAGGGGGGCTGGAGGTAAAGGAACTAGCAAATTGAAAGGAGTTAAGGGAGAGTTCAGAGTGGGAGATGAGGAAACGGTGTGTCTGGGACATAGAAGGAAGCCTGAGGGAGTCCTGAATTATTTAGATGGAGGCATATGGGGGAAGGGGAGCTATTGAGAAACAAAAATGTGCTTTAAGGGGAAGGTGGGAAAGCAGAGACCAGGCAAGAGAAGAGCTAGGTGAGCTGACAGGTGTTGTCATTGGTAGAGAAGAGGAAGGTAAATGGATTTAAGGATTGAGGCCTTGGAAAGTAGCAAAGGCAGGAAAATAGGAACTGAAAGAATACTTGGATAAGATGGGATCATGGGTTGAGTAGGGAAGTAAAATTTTAGAAACAGGAGCACATTCAGGCAGAATACCTTTTAGAGCAGTGGGTTTCAAACTTCAGCAGTGGCGCCCCTTTTATACAATGCACCTTATTTTGGAATTCTGGGAAATGAAATACCCGTTCTTATTGAAGTTGGGGAGGAGCTGGAATTCTGCCTGCTTAACTTTATTCTCTTGGCCCCCGAGTGTAGCATGTTTAAAATCCACTGTTCTAGAGGTTGTAGTGAGTGGAAGGAAAACAGATGACAGGAAAAGATCAGAAGGATTTAAAAGAAGGGTTCTTTGGGTGACAGTGAGTGAAAAGTTCTATGTGTGCATGGAGAGGGAAGGGACCCTGTTGGAAATGAGGGAATTGTAAATCTGGGACTGGGGAAAGTGTGTAGACAAGCTCTAACCCTGAAGGGATTTGTTCTTCAGGTACGAGGAACAGCAAATTCAGGAAAAAGTGGCGACCTTTCGACTCATGTTGCTGGAGAAAGATGTGAACCCTGGGGGCAAGGAGGAGACCCCAGGGCAGAGGCCAGTGTGAGTGTTCACTCTCCCTTGATTTCCTCTGGACTCTGTACTGCTACTTCTGCTGTCCTCTCTTGTTAACTTGTACTTCCTGTTCTTGTCTTCTTTTTCCCAATCCTGTTTGGCCTCTGTCTACAATTGTGTGAAAATGACTGCCCTTGGCTCTCTATGTCCTTCAGACCTTCGCTATTTTTTTTTTCTAGGGTAACTGAGACTCACCAGTTGGCAGAATTGAATGAGAAAAAGAATGAGCGACTTCGTGCTGCCTTTGGCATCAGTGATTCCTATGTGGATGGCAGCTCTTTTGATCCTCAGCGTCGTGCTCGAGAAGCCAAACAACCAGTTCCTGAGCCTCCCAAACCTTACAGGTATACAAGACCAAGAAACCAGTGTTAGCTTTTTTTAATTCTAAGCACTCTGCTTGCTTGCTTTTTTTAAAATGTGGACTATGTCTTCTGAAACTTTAGATTTTATTTTTCTGAAGTTGAAATGTCTGAGTAAATTTGTCTTAGCCCCCCTTCCTGCTTCTTTTCATCTTTCCCAGCCTTGTCCGGGAGTCCAGCAGTTCTCGCTCACCAACTCCAAAGCAAAAGAAAAAGAAAAAGAAGAAAGACAGAGGACGGTAAGTTAGTTGGAAAGTTACTGTAGTAGCCAGAGGACAATCCTGTCATGTGTGCTCTTTCTCCTTTTCAATCTCACCCCCCCACCCCATTCTTGCTTCTAGGAAGCAGGAGAGGGTTATCAGAAAAGTCAGGGAAGAGGTCATTAACCATTCAGGTCTCCAGCTGGGAGAAGGAATGTGGGTGCTGCTTTAGTGGGAAGGCTTGATTTTGTAGCTCTGCCAATTAAGAGTTGGCCAGCAGCATTTTTGGATTTCTGGGATTTTCTTTCTCATTTTGAGGTTTGTTGATTTAAGGAGGAGGTACCTGTGCTTAGAGAGTAATAAGTTCTGGGGTGAGATTTGGGATGTTGGTCCTGTTGGAATTGTTCGGTACTTCAGAAGCCTTTTGGGGTATGTTGTAAGTGGGAGGGCCAGGGAAGGAGCCAAGCAAAATGACCTTGTTTCTAAACTCAACTTTAGTAGGTCAGAGAGCAGCTCTCCGCGACGAGAGAGGAAGAAGAGTTCGAAGAAGAAGAAACACAGGTATGAGGTGGGAATACATGGAGTGATTGGAGAGGTTTGATGAGTCCTGGTGTAGATATTGGTTTATATTTTGTATTTTTCCCCCCAACAGATCAGAATCCGAATCCAAGAAGCGGAAGCATAGGTAAGAGCTCTTTGGGGCAGAGGGGACATGGTGGCATATGAGCTGTGACCCATTGCTTGATGGCCTTGCTTTCTGGGGGGGCGGTTGTGGTTATTTCTTGGAGTAAAGCTCAGTTCTTTGATTTTTTTGTCAGTAACGCCAATTCTTTATATTTCACTTTTTGTTCTATTTCTTTTTAAAAAAATGATTGTTTTTAATCTCATTTTCTAGATCTCCTACTCCAAAGAGCAAACGTAAATCTAAGGACAAGAAGCGAAAGCGGTGAGTGAATTTGTGTGATTTGATGGGGAATTTGCTCAGCAAGTAGATGAATGCCATCTAGAGGGATAGGATAGAAATCCAGTATAGGTGTGACAGTACCCTGAGTTGTGGTGGTCTTCCTTCAGATCCCGAAGTACAACACCAGCCCCCAAGAGCCGCCGGGCCCACCGTTCAAGTTCTGCGGACTCGGCTTCCTCTTCTGATACTTCCTGCAGTCGGTAAGGGGTGGTCCAGGAGGAAGGGAGGGAGAGGGACTTGTGGGCTAATCAATTTAATATTTATTGAGCGCCCACGGTGTGCTAGGCGCTGCACAGACCATTCGGAAGACACGGTCCCTGCCCTCTAGGAGCTGACAGGCTAAAGCAACAGGATGGACAGACATATACATTTCCCCTTCTCTTTTTTTTTTTGTTTTTTTTTATTTTGTTATTTTTTTGTTTTGTTCTGATGTATATGGACTGCCAGAATAGGGGGGGTTGTGGTTTGTTCGTGGTGTCTGGGGGAGGAAGGAATCCTTACCCTGGCTTCCTTAATCGGGGAAGGCTTCCTGAAGGAGGTGGGCTCAGAGGTGAGTTGTGAATGAAGCGGGTAGGGAATGGCTGGGTGGAGGGTTTGGGGAGGTTTGTGGGAGGTGAATAAAGGGATAGAGGGAGAACATTTTTTTGGGATTGTGCTGGGAAGAAGAGAAGGACCAAAGTGAATTTTAGACTTCAGTTTCAATGAGTGATTTGAGTCTTGTGCATAGAAGAAGGTTTTTTGGAAGAGGGTTATATACCAGTCAGGAAAAGTGGATGGGAGCTGGGGAGGGGGTTTTCTGCTCTCCCCTGAGCTGATTACCTTTCTCTCCCCCATCCTCAATTACTTCTCTCAGGTCTCGAAGTGCTGCAGCAAAAACACATACAACTGCCTTGACTGGGCAAAGTCCTTCCCCTGCCTCAGGGCGTAGAGGAGCTGGAGATGCACCTTCCAGGGAACCAAGTACCACCAACAGAGGGCATCCTAGCAGCCCAGAGCCCTCTACAAAGCAGCCTAGTAGCCCTTACGAAGACAAAGACAAGAAGGAGGTATGTTCTTGAGTTAATGGATGTTCATTGGGTTGCAGGGTTATGGGCTTTAGAGTAGGTGTTTGAAGTGAAGGAAGGAAGTAAGAACTTAAGAGAAATGAGGGTTTTTTTTCCCTCTGTATCCTTGGTTATTTATTAACTTTTCTATAGCTTCAAATACTTTAGAGTTGTGGTTTTCAAACTTCACTGAATATAGATTTTACATCATTATCCTGTTTATGTACATAGAACTCAAAAGTTTGTTTAAACTATTTTTAGCCTTACTACTTAGGATACCTCTAGTTATTTTTATTTCATTAAATGGTCGTGGCTAAAATGTTTAAATCCAGTGGGTAGCTGCCTGCAGTCTGAAAACCTTTGAATGGTCCTTTCAGCAACTGTTCTTTTATACTTGCTATTCTAATTTAAGCCCTACTACTTTTGTGTTTCAGCTATTACAGTGTATTTTAATAGTTGGCTAAACTTTTAGCTTTTTTGTCCATTTCTCATGTCCTTTATCTTTTTCAGTGCCCATCCTCGTCTTTTTTACTCTCACAAATCATGTCTTTATACCTTTCTCTTTATTCTTTTACTTTAATATAGTTATTTTTCAAGGATAAAGTCAGGTGCCACCTACTTTGGGGAATTGCTTTAGCTTTCCATTTAAAAATATCCTCTTTCCTGTTCTCATAGCATTTTGCAATAGTTACTTGTAAAACGTAGTGTATTCGTTTGCATTCTTTTCTGTAGATTATAAGACTTTAAGGTTACAGACTATTCATATCTTCATGTTTTCCCCCAAATGTTTTTTATGTTATGTGATCTCTTGTTATTGAACGAATGTGACTACCTATCATGAGGAAGAGGGACCAGTTGATGTAATGGGGTGTGTAGAGGAAAAGTTTCATTGGAGATGGTTTTGGGATCTTATGGGTGATAGGAAGTTTTGGTGATTATATATCCCTATCCCTGCTTTCTTTTCCACTCTTAGAAATCTGCAATTCGACCTAGCCCCTCTCCGGAAAAGAGCACAGGCCCAGAACCACCTGCTACCACTCCGCTCCTTGCCGAGCAACATGACAGCTCCCCAAAACCCCTTGCAACAACTCCCTTAAGTCAGGAGCCATTGAATCCCCCATCTGAGGCTTCCCCAACCCAGGGCCGTTTACCACCTAAGTCTCCTGAGAAACCTCCCCAATCATCATCTTCGGAGAGCTGCCCACCATCCCCTCAACCTACCAAAGTTTCTCGGCATGCCAGCTCCTCTCCTGAAAGTCCTAAACCCACACCAGCTCCTGGGTCCCGCCGAGAGATTTCCTCTTCTCCTGCATCTAAGAATCGCTCACATGGCCGAGTAAAGCAGGATAAGTCACATTCTCCTACTCCTCGTAGGGTGGGGAGGTCCCGTAGCCCTACCACCAAGAGGGGGCGATCACGGTCTCGAACCCCTACTAAGAGAGGTCATTCTAGGTCCCGGTCCCCTCAGTGGCGTAGATCCCGGTCTGCACAGCGATGGGGACGATCTAGAAGCCCCCAGCGACGTGTCCGCTCTAGGTCTCCTCAGCGACCAGGCTGGTCCAGGAGCAGAAATACCCAGAGAAGAGGCAGGTCTAGATCAGCAAGGCGAGGCAGGTCGCACTCTAGATCCCCAGCCACTAGGGGCAGATCTCGTTCTAGAACACCAGCCCGGCGGGGCAGGTCTCGGTCTAGAACGCCCGTCAGGCGGAGATCACGATCCAGAACATCCACTAGGCGTAGGTCTCGGTCTAGAACACCAGCCCGGCGGGGCAGGTCTCGGTCTAGAACACCTGCTAGACGCAGATCCAGAACCCGTTCGCCAGCACGACGGAGGTCTCGTAGTAGATCGGCAGCCAGGCGAAGTGGCCGGTCGCGCTCTAGAACACCAGGCAGACGTGGCCGGTCGCGCTCTAGAACACCAGGCAGACGTGGCCGGTCGCGCTCTAGAACGCCAGGTAGACGAAGTGGTCGGTCGCGTTCTAGGACACCAGCCAGGAGAGGTAGATCTCGGTCTAGGACACCAGCAAGACGAGGAAGGTCCCATAGTAGAAGTTTAGCTAGACGGGGAAGATCTCACTCTAGAACACCACAAAGAAGAGGCAGGTCTGGCTCATCATCAGAGCGGAAGAACAAATCCAGAACATCACAGAGAAGGAGCAGGTCCAACTCAAGCCCTGAAATGAAAAAATCTCGTGTTTCAAGGCGGAGCAGGTCTCTCTCTTCACCGCAGTCCAAAGCAAAATCTCGCTTGTCTTTGAGGCGAAGTCTTTCTGGGTCCTCTCCATGCCCTAAACAAAAGTCTCAGACACCACTAAGGCACAGTCGCTCTGGATCATCTCAACCTAAAGCTAAATCTAGAACACCACCAAGGCGAAGTCGTTCCGGTTCTGCTTCTCAACCTGAAGTGAAATCTGGAACACCACCAAGGCAAGGGTCTGTAACAAGTCCTCAGGCAAATGAACAGTCTGCAGCAGCACAAAAAGGAAGCTGTTCTGAAATGTCACCTGACCCTGAAGTGAAGTCTAAGACCCCTTTGACACATAGCTGCTCTGGGTCCTCTCCTCCTAGAGTAAAATCTAGCACATCTCCAAGACGGAGCCGATCCAGGTCGTCATCTCCACAACCCAAAGTGAAGGCAATAACATCACCAACCCAGAGCCATTCTGGCTCTTCTTCTCCAAGTCCTACTAGGGTAACGTGTAAAATCCCACCAAGACAAAGCAGATCAGTGTCTCCTTGCTCCAATGTGGAATCTAGATTGTTGCAAAGACACAGCCATTCTAGGTCCTCCTCACCAGATACCAAAGTGAAACCTGGAACACCACCAAGACAAAGTTACTCAGGTTCTACTTCGCCGTGCCCCAAAGTACAGTCCCAAACTCCATCTGGATTAAAGTCACCTTGTTCTCAAGAGAAGCCTAAAGACTCACCAGCACAAAGTGGCTCTGGATTTTTCTCCCTCTGTCCAAGAGTAAACTCTAGCACACCACCAGGAGAGAGCTATTTTGGCATCTCATCTCTGCAACAGGAAGGACAATCTCAAACTTCACCAGACCCTAGATGTGATACTTCAAGCCCAGAAATAAGACAGAGTCCTTATGAATCTACATCTCAGCAGAGCAAATCTCAAACATCTCCTAAGGGTGGCCGGTCCAGGTCCGCATCTCCAATCACTGAGCTGGCACCTAGATCTCCAACAACACAAGATAGAAGCAAATTGTCAGTAAGCCCTAGGCTGAAATCTGGACTGTCTCCTGAGCAGAACAGATCCCAGTCTGACTCTTCCCCATACCCTGCAATGGACTGTAAATCTCTTCTGGGGCAGAGTAGATTGGCGTCTTCTCCTGAATCAAAAGAGAAAACAGACTTACTCCTTCAGGAGGATATCACTACATCGTCTAGACTAAGAGACAAATTGAGTCCTCCTCCAAGGCAGGATAGACCTGAGTCCTCACCAGTACTCAAAGACACATCTGGAACCCCAACAAAGGAAAGATGTGATGTTGGGTCATCTCCAGATTCAAAAGACCAAAGTAGTGCATTAGCTAAGCCAAGCCAAGACGAATTAATGGAGGTGGTGGAGAAATCGGAAGAATCCTCAAACCAGGTCCTATCCCATGTGTCTCCAGAACTTAAAGAAATGGCTGGAAGTAACTTTGAACCATCTCCTGAAATAGAAGAGAAGCCTGCTGTTTCTTTGACTCTTGACCAAAGCCAATCACAGGCTTCTTTGGAAGCAGAAGTCCCTGCAGTGGCCTCAACTTGGAGCGGGCCACATTTTTCTCCAGAACATAAAGAACTGTCAAACTCCCCTCCCAGGGAGAAAAGCTATGGATCACCTTTAGAATTTAGAAACTCAGGCCCTCTTGTAGAAGTGAATACTGGATTTTCTCCTGAGGTTAAAGATTTGAATGTACCTTTTCCTAGTCAGGTAGAGGCAGATCCATCTCTAGACATGAAAGAACAATCAACCAGGTCCTCCAGACACAGCAGTTCTGAGTTATCCCCAGATGCAGTGGAAAAAACAGGAATGTCTTCAAATCAGAGTGTCTCGTCACCAGTACATGATGCTATACCCAGAACACCCTCAAGGGAAAGTAGTTCTGCATCTTCTCCTGAACTGAAAGATGGTTTACCCAGAACTCCCTCAAGGAGAAGCAGGTCTGGGTCTTCCCCAGGACTTAGAGATGGGTCTGGGACGCCCTCAAGGCACAGCTTACCTGGGTCATCTCCTGGAATGAAAGATATACCCAGAACACCATCCAGGGGGAGAAGCGAATGTGATTCTTCTCCAGAACCAAAAGCTTTGCCTCAAACTCCAAGGCCAAGGAGTCGTTCTCCATCATCCCCAGAGCTCAACAAGTGTCTTACTCCCCAAAGAGAAAGAAGTGGCTCAGAATCATCAGTTGAACAGAAGACTGTGGCTAGGACTCCTCTTGGGCAGAGAAGTCGATCTGGATCTTCTCAAGAACTTGATGGGAAACCCAGTGCATCCCCTCAGGAAGGAAGTGAATCAGACTCTTCTCCAGATTCTAAAGTTAAGACACGAATGTCACTTAGACAGAGGAGTCATTCTGGATCATCCCCAGAGGTCGACAGCAAATCCCGACCTTCTCCTCAACGTAGTAGGTCTGGCTCATCTCCCGAAGTCAAAGATAAGCCAAGAGCAGCACCCAGGGCACAGAGTGGTTCTGATTCTTCTCCTGAACCCAAGGCTCCTGCCCCTCGGGTCCTTCCCAGACGAAGCAGATCAGGTTCATCAAGCAAAGGTAGAGGCCCTTCACCTGAAGGAAGCAGCAGTTCTGAGTCTTCTCCAGAACACCCACCCAAATCCAGAATGGCTAGAAGAGGCTCTAGGTCATCACCAGAGCCCAAGACCAAGTCTCGCACTCCACCTCGTCGTCGCAGCTCTCGATCATCTCCTGAGCTGACTAGGAAGGCCAGACTCTCCCGTAGGAGTCGCTCTGCATCATCCTCACCAGAGACCCGCTCTAGAACTCCCCCAAGACGCCGAAGAAGCCCCTCAGTGTCTTCCCCAGAGCCAGCTGAAAAGTCAAGATCCTCACGCAGGCGGCGTTCAGCTTCATCCCCACGCACTAAGACAACTTCGAGGAGAGGCCGGTCTCCTTCCCCAAAGCTTCGTGGACTCCAGAGGTCCCGTTCTCGCTCAAGGAGGGAGAAAACCAGAACAACCCGACGTCGAGATAGGTCTGGATCTTCCCAGTCGATCTCTAGGAGAAGACAGCGGAGCCGGTCACGGTCCCGGGTTACTCGTAGGCGGAGGGGAGGCTCTGGTTACCACTCAAGGTCTCCTGCCCGGCAGGAGAGTTCCCGGACCTCCTCTCGACGTCGAAGAGGCCGCTCCCGGACACCCCCAACCAGTCGGAAGCGTTCCCGCTCACGCACATCACCAGCCCCATGGAAACGCTCCAGGTCCAGAACACCCCTGGTCAGCCGACGTAGGTCCAGGTCTCGAACTTCACCAGTCAGTCGGAGACGCTCAAGGTCTAGGACATCAGTCACTCGACGAAGATCTCGCTCAAGAGTATCCCCAGTGAGTCGGAGACGATCAAGGTCCAGAACGCCACCAGTAACCCGTCGTCGTTCAAGGTCCAGAACACCAGCTCGCCGCCGCTCCCGTTCTAGAACTCCACCAGTGACTCGCAGAAGGTCCAGATCTAGGACTCCACCAGTAACAAGGCGGCGATCTCGAAGCAGAACCTCACCTATTACTCGCAGAAGATCGAGATCCAGAACTTCCCCAGTCACCCGTAGGAGATCTCGATCTCGCACGTCTCCAGTAACTCGGAGGAGGTCCCGCTCTAGAACCTCTCCAGTGACACGCCGCCGGTCTAGGTCCCGAACACCTCCAGTTATTCGGCGCCGCTCTAGGTCTCGAACCCCACTGTTGCAACGCAAACGTTCTCGAAGTCGCTCACCACTTGCTATCCGCCGCAGGTCTAGATCCCGTACTCCACGGACCACCCGGGGCAAACGGTCCTTAACAAGATCTCCTCCAGCCATCCGCAGGCGCTCTGTATCTGGAAGTAGTTCTGATCGTTCACGCTCTGCTACTCCTCCAGCAACAAGGAATCATTCTGGTTCTCGGACACCTCCAGTGGCACTCAATAGCTCCAGAATGAGCTGCTTCAGTCGTCCTAGCATGTCACCAACTCCTCTTGACCGCTGTAGGTCACCTGGAATGCTTGAACCCCTCGGCAGCTCGAGAACACCCATGTCTGTCCTGCAGCAAGCTGGTGGCTCCATGATGGATGGTCCAGGTCCCCGAATTCCTGATCACCCTAGAACATCTGTGCCAGAAAATCATGCTCAGTCTAGAATTGCACTTGCCCTGACAGCCATCAGTCTTGGTACCGCTCGGCCTCCTCCGTCCATGTCTGCTGCTGGCCTTGCTGCAAGAATGTCCCAGGTTCCAGCTCCAGTGCCTCTCATGAGTCTCAGAACGGCCCCAGCTGCCGGCCTTGCCAGCAGGATTCCTGCAGCCTCTGCAGCAGCCATGAATCTGGCCAGTGCCAGGACACCTGCCATACCAACAGCAGTGAACCTAGCTGATTCGAGAACACCAGCTGCAGCAGCAATGAACTTGGCCAGCCCCAGAACAGCGGTGGCACCTTCTGCTGTGAACCTTGCTGATCCTCGCACCCCTACAGCCCCAGCTGTGAACCTAGCAGGAGCCAGAACCCCAGCGGCTTTGGCAGCTTTGAGTCTCACAGGCTCTGGCACACCTCCAAACGCTGCAAACTATCCCTCCAGCTCCAGAACACCCCAGGCTCCAGCCCCTGCAAACCTGGTGGGTCCTAGATCTGCACATGCCACAGCTCCTGTGAATATTGCCAGCTCAAGAACCCCTCCAGTCTTGGCTCCTGCAAGCCTCACCAGTACTAGAATGGCTCCAGCCTTGTCTGGTGCAAACCTCACCAGCCCCAGGGTGCCCCTCTCTGCCTATGAGCGTGTTAGTGGCAGAACCTCACCACCACTCCTTGACCGATCCAGGTCCAGAACCCCACCAGGAGGCCCAGGCTGCAGAACCCCACCAGCTGCCCCCAGCCAGTCTAGAATGACCTCTGAGCGGGCTCCCTCTCCTGCTGCTAGAATGGCCCAGGCTCCCTCACAGCCTGTTCTCCCTCCAGCTCAGGATCGGCCTAGGTCCCCTGTGCCATCTGCTTTTTCTGACCAATCCCGATCTTTGCTTGCCCAGACCACCACCTCTGTAGTAGGGTCTCAGTCCCTTACCTCTGGGACGGTGGCAAAGGCCACATCCTCTGCTGGTGACCACAATGGCATGCTGTCTGGCCCTCCCTCTGGGGTGTCCCACCCTGAGGGTGGGGAGCCACCTTCTTCTACGGGGGCCCAGCAGCCTTCTGCATTGGCCACCCTGCAGTTGGCAAAGGAGCGGCGGAGTTCCTCCTCCTCCTCATCCTCTAGTTCCTCCTCTTCATCGTCGTCATCGTCGTCGTCCTCCTCCTCCTCCTCTGGCTCCAGTTCTAGTGACTCAGAAGGCTCTAGCCTTCCTGTTCAACCTGAGGTAGCAGTGAAGAGGTGAGGGACTTGACTTTTAGAATTTTTCCACAGGGAAGGTTTTGGGGATGGATGGGGGTGGGGACGGGAAAGCCTTGTCCAGAGGTTCTTGGCTCATTGAGGAGGTATGGGGACCTTGACCGTTAAGCTGGGGGTAGAAGAGAATGCTGGGGTGGGGGTGACGGGGGCGGGGGGAGGACTGGGACAGAAAAGTCTCCAAAGGTTAATTCTCTAGAGGATAATGATAAGTTTTCCATCTCTACAGAGGACAGAACTAGAGGAAATGGACTTAATTTTACAGCAGGAGGGATGGCAGTTAGACCTCAAGAGGAACTCCCTGGGCTGGAAGGATCTTCAGAGGTCATCCCATCCTTCTCCCTGCCTCCAGGCAGGACGGCCCCATCCCCAGCCAGCCTGCACACACAGGGGCCTCCCCAAGCTGGCTCTCCAAGGAAGGAGACCACCCAGCTTCGCTTCCACACCTGAGCCCAGGGGCCATATTCCTCCATCAGGGACATTTCTTGAGGTTTAACCTTGAACCCTGGTGCTGCGGGCCCCAGCCTGTTGCTTGTGTTAGCAGAGGTTGGGTCAGCTCGGGGCCACTGCTCGCCAGAGAATTTGATCACTGGCTCTTGGGCTCTCGGCTGGGAGAGCTCCCAGGGCCTGTCTCAGGAACCCCTTCCCCATTGCCCTTCCTCCAGGCCAAGGAAGGTAGGGTTGAGGCTGGGGCAGCTTGTCTCCTTGTGACAATCCACTCCTCCCGCAGGGTCCCTAGCCCAGCCCCAGCCCCAAAGGAGGCTGTTCGAGAGGGTCGTCCTCAGGAACCAACCTCAGCCAAGCGGAAGAGGCGCTCTAGCAGCTCCAGTTCCAGTTCCTCCTCATCCTCTTCCTCTTCCTCCTCCTCTTCATCCTCCTCTTCCTCTTCCTCCTCTTCCTCCTCCTCTTCTTCCTCCTCTTCCTCTTCTACTTCCTCCTCCCCCTCCCCTGCTAAGCCTGATCCTCAGGCCTTGCCCAAACCTGCAAGCCCCAAGAAGCCAACCCCTGGTGAGCGGAGGTGAGTGCTGCCTTGCTTGAGCTGGAATGGGTGGGATGTGACCCTGGGGTGTGAGATGCCTGCTGGGTGTTGCACACGGACTTGTGGTGTCTGGTTGTGTGGGAGGAGGCAGGCTCTCCTCTCCCACTCTGTTTTGCCCTGTTTTGACAAGGGCTGCGCCATCCAAGTGGGTGCCCCAGCCAAACTTGGGGAGTCCTAGGTTCCTTCCTCTCCCTGCCCCTGACATGCAGCCTGGTTCCAGGTTCCAGGGAGTCTAGCTTTTAAGTCTCCCTATTGCTACTGCCAGTGCTCTGGTCTGGCCACCGTCATCTTCTCCCGACTCTGTCCACAGCCTCTTCCCTGTCTCCCTGCCTCCACGCCATTCTCTTCCACACGTAGCCAGAGGGATCTTTCTAAAACGCACATCTGGTTACTTCCCTCCACTCCACAAATCCTTCCGGGACGCCCTGTGGCCTGCAGGATAAAGCCCCATCTCTGCGGGAATGGCGTGTGAGGCTCTTCACCAACTGGCCTTGCCTGCCCTGTGTTCTCCTCTCCTGCCCGCCCCCACACATGCCCTCTGCTCCAGCCATACCCAGCGCCTTGCAGTCTAAGGAGAACCCCATGCCTTTGGACATGCTGTTCCTTCTGCCTGGAATTCCCTTGTCCGCCTGGTGAACTCCTCGTTCTGCAAGACTCCGCTCAAACAGCACCTTCAAGAAGATCACCCTGCCCCTTCCCTTCCCTTCCCTTCCCTTCGTCTCCCTCCCCTGGGTCCCCAGACCCATCTACTTCAGTCCCTGCGGGGCTGCTTCCCACACACGGGGCTGAGCAATCCTCCCTTGGCCTTCATCACCAGACTGAGCCCCTTCAAGGGCTGGGGCTGTCTTTATCTTTGTGTCCCCCGCTGCCCCCATGCCCAACCCACTCGGGCGGATGGGTGAGTGAGCGGACAAAGGTGGGTCTGAGGCTGGCCCCGTGTGGTGAGGTTTGGTGGTCAAGACCTGGGGAGGGTGGTCCTGAGTGCTGGCTGGTGGATTTGGAAATGTGGGGCACTATGGAGACCTACTCTGCTCCCTAGGTCCCGCAGTCCCCGGAAACCAATAGACTCCCTCCGAGACTCACGGTCCCTCAGCTACTCGCCTGCTGAGCGCCGCCGCCCCTCGCCCCAGCCCTCACCACGGGACCAGCAGAGGTAGGGCCACCTGTGTCTTCTTGCCCTAGCCAATAGCCAGCCCGGTCTGGCTACCATCAACTTCTGCAAAAAGTTTTGAGATTCAGCAGTGTGATGGCGTGTGTCTGTCTGTGGCTTAACGTATGTCCTGTGTTGCAGCAGCAGTGAGCGGGGTTCCCGGAGAGGCCAGCGTGGGGACAGCCACTCCCCAGGCCATAAGCACAGGAGAGACACACCTAGCCCCTGCCCTGCACGGCACCGCTCGTCCAGGTGCGTGCGTCCCGCATACTCTTAGGACTGGGCCCCTTCTGAGCTCTGGCTGCTTGGGACTTCCGCATTGATGGCAGTCTTCTCTGTTGCAGGTCTCCATGAATGTGTTGTTGGGGAATCACACCATACCCCAAGTTCTGGAGCCACAAGGAGTGAACCCTTTGTCCCCAACAAAGCTGCAGGAGGGGTCCCTGTCTGTTCCCTCCCCCCCAACCCTGGCAGCATCTTGCGGGGAGGGCTCCCTTTCCCTCCCCATTTTTTTTTTTCTTTGTTCCTGTGAAATGTTAATCTGTGAGTTTTTCCTGGTTCACGTTTTTTGGGGGGTTTGGGGTGGGTGGGAATGATAATGGGAGTTGCTAGTAGGGAGGATACAGTTCAGGACTCCCCAGTTTTGAGTCAGAAAGGGTCTGGGAGGCACTGTCCTCCCCCCAACTTTATTCCTAAGTTCTGGGGAAAGGATGGTTTGGGACGTGGGAACTTGTGTGAGGTGTTCCTGGAAAGAAGGGTCAAGAGTTAAAAATCATTGGCTTTTACTGCCCCCCAGTAAGATTGTGGTCCCATCCCCCCAACTTTTCTTCACCTTTCTTAAAGTCATTTTGGTTTTTTTAAAATCTGTACAGTAAGAGCAACTTTTTCTGTCAAATAAAAATGAGAAATGCAGGAATTGGTTCTATATAGACTGTTTATTAGGGGCGGAGGGGCAGGGAAAGGAGCTGCCCTTCTACCGACTGCAGCCCCGGGAGCTGTGGGCCCGCTCCAGAGCCGACACTGGCTCTGGTGTATACACTTGGAGCAGGACAAGAGGTACCTGCCTTGCAGCCAGTGGGTCACTGAAGGAACCTTTGTGCACAGGCTGAGCAGAAGGCTAGGCTGGAGCTCTTTTAAGTTCCATCCAGTCCTCTCCCCCGTGGCCTTTGAGGCAGGCTGGGATGGGAGTAGACTGCTGGGTCCAGCAGGCCAACCTGGCAAGCAAGAGGCTGAGGAGGAGCCTTGCAGGGAGTGGGCCCCATCCTGGTGAGGGTGATGATGCCTGGAATCAGGAGAGGGTGGGTGAACAGAAAGAGGCAGCAACCAGGCAGACACCCAAATCTCTTTTATTGGGGGGGATGGGGTGCTGGAGGGTGGGCACCAGGCCCTCTCACTGCACAGCTTGTTCATTGGCGCTGCTTCCTGAGTCCTGCGGCTTCATCACGTCAGGCAGCTCTGGTGGGCTGGAGAAGGGCTCGATGCGCAGGGCCTCAAACGCATCATCTGGAGAGGAGAATGGGGAGAGCTGGAAGGGATGGCGGCCTCTAGGCTTCTGGGAACCGCCAAGCTAACACCTACCCCCACAAAGAGTCTCTTCCACAGCCCTGATACCTGCCTACATCTAACTGGACTCAAGCCCTACTGGAATGGCTCCCACCTACCTCTAGGCCAACCTGATCCTCGCTCCCCTGCCCCAACCTGCCATCCTGGGGCCCTTTTCCTCACCCTGTGCACCTATTTTCCTTGTTTCCTTCACGTCCTCTCTGGTTATCAACCAGTGATTTAAATCAATCAAACCGGACTCTATTTCATCTGTTTAAAACCTAATATATTCTGAATAAAAAATCAAGTCCTTGCCATAATGTCTCTCCAATCACTGACTCCTGTGCTCTCTCCATGTTCCCATATCAAGCTTTCCTGCTGCAGGGCCTTTGCATTTGCTGGTCTTGAGTCTGCTACTCAGTGACATTCAGGGTTCAACTCAATATCACCTCAGAGCTTTCCCCAGCCACCCCATATAAACGATCTCTGCATCGCAATGCCCTGTGCATTGCTTTAACCACTAGTCAAAATGGCCGTTTCTTTTGGCCAGCTGCTTTATCCACTAGAACCGTGGCTCCAGGAAGGCCTTCCCTGTCTCCTTCTGTCAGCTCAGCACAGTGAATGACCCCACTTCACTCCTTTGTTTTCTTGTACCTGGGAGACTTTTCTCTACCTGGCTCAGGTTCTCAACTAGCGCCCCCTCCCGGAGAAAGTTGGCCCTATCTGGCGACAAAAGTTTGGGTTGTCATAACTTGTGGTGGGAAGCTGCAAATAGCATCTGCTGGGTATATGGCCATCTCTGGTAGTGGTCAGAGATGATGCCAAGTGTCCTACAACGCACAAGACAACCCCACATTATTATCCAGCCCCAAATGTCAATAGTGCTGAAGTTGATACCTGACCAGCTTAACTAATTCATCCTCCAAGCCACAAATGTGCAGTGACTGTTCTTGCCTTCATCACCTTTCCCAGTCTTTGGAAATGAAGTCTGGATAATGCCATTTAACACCTGATTTGAATACTGCCATCTTCCTAACTGAAGCCAGTTTGGGGGTAAGGAGACAGACCTGTGTCTTGTCCTTCCTTTTACAGGCTGCACAAGGAAACAATTCCCCACCTAAAAAGTGTGGTTTTGCCCGTGGGGGAAGCCAAGAGTAACCAGTCCACACACAATTCTGCAACCCCTTACCATCTGCAAAATAGGTCTATGAGCACTTTCCAAGAGTTACTGCAAGCCTATAGGGAGCCTTTGTTCAAGTGAAAGGGACACTTCCTCCAGCAGAATGCTGCCCGGCCTTAGCTGAGGAAGCAGAACAGGAGATGAGCTTTTAGCCCTCATTTGTGCCATTCAGAAGGGAAGGCCTGTACGGGTCTGATCTGTACAAAGTCCGCACCAGCTATGCACCTGCCTCAGCATCACTGAGGGTCAGCGGGAACCCACAGAAAGGCCCCTAAGATTTCTGTTTGCTAAGCACTCAAAGGCTGGGGCCTGGGGTGGGTGGGGGCTCAAGCTGCCTGGCTGAGAGGCTGGTCCTAGTATCAGCCCCCCTTTATGAAGAAGGAACTCCAGGCCGGGAGGGGTGGGGTGTGAAGTAGCTGCCTGAAGACAGGGCTGCTAAGGCCTAGCACAGTTCTTATGAAACTGAAAAGTGGCTAAAGCTGTACGCTCCTTCCTTAGCCAGAAAAACAATTCCTTTGTAACTTTATCCAAGTTTACCCAGCTATCCACATAGCTCTTGGGTCCACAGCTTAATACCTGTTGAAGAATAAAATTGAAATCTCTCTTTTTCTTGGGGGAAGTACACCACTCCCAACCCTCGTGTTTCTAAACTTCGGGCAGGGTGGCATATCGTTGAGAATACAGGCTCCGGGGCAGGTAGGGCTAGGACCTGGCAGGCCCAGCAAGTGACCAAAACATCCCAGATGCAGTTTACTCATCTTTAAAATGGCCACAATACAAATCTGGCCTTCAAAGAGATGCTCGGAGATTAAGTGATGCACTGCAAAGACAGTGTCTGGTATGGTGTCTGGCTCAGGGAAGGTCCCGGCTGCCTGCCTCTGAACCGTGGCTCCTCACATGACTTGGCAAGTCTCAGTGTCCACGTCTCCAAAATGGGGACGGCAGGGCTTACCTCCCAGAGCTATCGAGAGGATCAAATGGTATGTTGGAAATAAAATGCAGAGGTCAGGCCAGGTACTCAAGTCTTCTGTGAGGTCCAAGATGGTGGCAGCAAACTCAAATATGTATGTATGTATGTAGGGAGCAATTACTCCGGTGAGACAACTGAGGGCTGAAGGAACAGCTTCTGAACCACAAACAAGAAAGAGGCTGAACAGAGAAGGCTGGGAAGCCTCGATGGGGAGCCATGGGAGCCGGCCGAGAGTTGTATGAACTCTCCTGGCCAGAGGACCTGGTGAGCACCATTATTTACATCCCCCTACACTTGGTAAGCTGGGGAGCTCTATTTGGGTGCTTTGGCCTACCTACCTGCCAGATCACCACTCAGTGTTCCTGGCTACACTGCCCAATCTTTTGCCTCCCATCACCACAAACACCTGGCCTCCTTGGACATTACATAGTGATAAAGGGATCAATCCAAGAGGAGGATATAACAACCCTAAATACGCATCCAACACAGTAGCACCTAAATATATAAAGCAATTATTAATGGGCATGAAGGGGGAAATCCATAAAAAAATAATACTAGGGGATTTTAATACTTCACTCACATCAATGGATAGATCATCTAGACAGAAAATAAGGAAATAATGGTCTTAATAATGTCACATTAGACCAGATCAAATTAACAGACATTATCAGAGCATTTCATCCAAAAACTACAGAATACTTTTTTCCAAGTGCATATTCTCCGGGACAGATCATATATTATGCCATAAAACAAGCCTCAATAAATTCAAAAAGGTTGAACTCGTATCAAGCACTGTTTTTTACCACAATGGCATGAAACTAGGAATCAAATACAGAAAGAAAACTGGAAAAAAACAAATATGTGGAGACTAAAGAACATGCTACTAAACAACCAATGGATTAAAGAGGAAATCAAACGAGAAATCAAAAACTATTTTGAAACAACTGATAATGAAAACACAACTTTTCAAAATTTATGGGATGCAGTTCTAAGAAGAAAGTTTACAACAATACAGGCCTACCTCAAGAAACAAGAAAAATCCCAAATAAATAACCTAGCTCCACTGGTAAAGGAACTAGAAAAAAGAACAAACAAAACCCAAAATAAAGAGAAGGAAGGAAATAGTTAAGATCAGAGCAGAAATAAAATAGAAATGTAAAAAACAATATGAAAGAGGTTTGTACCTTCTCAATCAACACCACAGAAATACAAAGAATCAATAAAGAATACTACAGTGATATGCTAACAAATTCAACAATCTAGAAGAAATGAATACATTTCTAGAAATATA